ACTGTAATAAATAAATAAATTATATATACATATGTATATATATGTATTTAGAAATACATATCTATTTCATTCACCGAAATTCAACTCTGACGTCTTACAGGGTTTTTTGTTTTTGTATTTTGCTGTCTTGTAGCAGTATCGTACTGTGTTACAGACACCCAGTTGCTGGTAGGTACGTGCATCAATTGAAGCAATCCTGTTGTAAGCCATAAGAATAAAAATGACTGTGATATAAAGTACCTCTCTTACAGGACCTCCTGTTAGATAACTGTTTTTCCATCTTCTAACGCACTTCAGCAATTCACAACAAACTCTAATTGGGGCAGTTTTGGGAAAATGCAGACTCAGTGTTGAATGTACTACTTGTGCTGCAGTTTGGAAAGCTACACATGCAAACAAACAATTTTTAACATTGGGTTTATGCAGCCCATACAGGTCTATACAGTGTCTCAAGAGAAGTGAAAGAAACAGCTGATGTACTACTTACGTACGCAGTTGCAACTGCCCAGCCAAAAAGGCTGCCCTGCATTAGCTGGGAACATGCTGCATTGCACAACTCCAGTTACAGGGTGGCACCTGAGCTGATGACGTCAGGTTAAAGTTCGATTTTAAAAAAAACACATCCAACACAATGCAAAGACCAGCAGAGGCTTTGCCAGCTGACATCACAAAGGCCCTTCTGACCACTTGGCCAGCTCTGATGTCCTAACAGAGTCCAGACGAGTCCATGCCTCTGTTGATTTTGAGGTACAGGCCTCCTCTTTGTGACAAACACAAAAGCACAAAACAGAAACCATCTGGGTGCAAGTTCATGTAGAACACCCTTTATATAAGACTACTCTGCATAAGATGGAGCTCCATTCACGCTGAAGCCTGATGCAATACAATGGCATATAACACGGTTGAATTTGATCCACGTCAGCAAACTTGCTGAGGATGCATGCCATCGATGCATCCAGATCACTGATAGAAATGTTGAACAGAGCTGGCCCTAGAACTGAGCTCTGGGGTCACTCCTGTGAATAATCTACTTCTGAATAGCATCTAGTCAGACTGTATAGACCCTCTGAATCTTTCATTCAGTGTCTGATCATCCTACAAATGCACTAAACTGAAATCCTGTCTTTATTACAAAATACAAAGAAGTCCATGGGCTATGGAACATTTTTTTTTAAATAATTGAGACCATTAATATCCTCCTTGCCATTGTGTACAGCAAGCTCAACTGTTACAACTGGGATGAAGAAGACTTCTGAAGTGAAGTAAGAATTGTTCAGAACCAATGGTGTTAGAATTTGGGAAAAGATGTTATTAATGTAGTGTACAAACTGTGATAATCCCTGCATATCTATAAATCCCTGTAAATTGTTAAATATCTCTTAGTAGTTATTAGTCATTCAAGTTTTCTGATAAGCTGTTGCTACAGGAGATTTTCTTAGTTAAAACTTGAGTGGGAAACTGCAGAGATGTGGTGTATTTGAACTACATACACTCCATGTAGTAGAGTACGTTCCGTCTGGATGGATAAGAAAACCTTCTAGTTTTGGCCTTGAAAGTTTGAATCTAACATCAAAATTGCACAAAAAGAAATGATGAAAAGTGTATGAATGGCCTTTGGGATTAAATTGTGAGTTGAATCCTCCAGTTACATGATTCCGGGTGTCTGCAAACTAATATTTTTATGTTCATTTTGTGTCCAGTGATGACTATTGATCCAAGGAGCTCAGTGAATTTATTAAATTGCACATCAAACAGAGCTCCCTCCCAAAGCAGCAAACCAAAATCTCTGATCTAACAAGTCCTGAGAAACACATCAACCATGCAGTCACAGTCAGAATGGAGAAAGTGATGCTGGGAATCACTTACCACTGATTTGAGCATTCCTATTTTGCTCATGTCACTCAGTCATCGTCTCAGGATGAAAATGCTCCTGGAGGATGTGTGTGTTGAATGCAGGATGGAGATTAGAGGGACAAGGGAGGAAGATGGGAAACATGGAGGGCGATGAAGAACGAAGTTGCTCAGTTGATGATTTATATCAAATGTCCTTTAATACAACTGGCAGAGTTTCAGGGAATGCAAAAAGCCTGTGAATCTGCTGTCTTCTACTAAAAATGCCCCCAGTTCTATCTTAGCTGTTTCATGAATAACAAAAGCAGTAAATAGTAGTTGGAAGCACCCTGGGTACCCCGTTCTTTTAAGAGAATCAATTCTGAAATATTTCAGACACAACAATGAATGCCTCCTAAATAATGCCTCCTCTCACCAGTGCGAGTCATAAAGGTTTATGCAATTTCACATCACACTCACTTTCAGAATATGAGCCAGTGACTAACACCAAAACTCCGGGATTCCTTATGTGCTGCTGCCTCCTTTAAATTCTTTTCATGCAGAATGAAAATAATTTAATTCCCGTTGTCTTAGCTGCCTTTTCTAAATTTCTGTGAACAGTAGTCCTCCCTGCAGGCCTGTCTCCCAGACTTGCAGAGCATATAAGGAATGCATATTAATTTCCACAGTACTGCTTAATTTTTTAACAATATTTACAGCATGTTTCTCTTTTTGCAGTCCCTTATTTTGCTTAATTCTTTCACATTGCTCTTCAGTTTCTATTATTCGAGGTGGTTTTGCATTATCAGCAAACAGCACATTTTTCCCCTCTGCTGCTCAAAACTTTGGCTGATGGGGTCAGGAGCAACAGCAACTGATTTAAGCGTGCAACAGTCACTCACAAAGACCATCAGCTCCAGCACCAGCACATCCTGCAAAGCACAGGGATGGAGGCACCAGCCTGTGCTGATCAAATCCCAGGGGAGCAGACCCGCCAGGAGCTGGTAGTGCTCAGAGGGCACGTGACAGGACATGAGAGACCAGCAGTGATGGTGGCCATTGCCCAAATGGCCCTTGAGAGCACTAGGCCAGGGTGGGCAGTCAGAACTCCTCAGCCTAGGGACAGAGCTCTGAGAGGTGGTGGGCAGGCTGAGGGGCATGAGGACCTTGCTAACTAGAGCCCTGAGCAGCCTGACGTCTGCTCTGCCCATATCCAGGGCTAAAGTTTTGGTGCCAGGTTTCCTTTTATCACTAAGGATGGACAAGGATAAGGTGGTTGATCTAGATGTATCCTTTAGTTCTTAAAGAATAATTAACTGGTGTCATTGTCCTGACTAAGTAGCCCATGGTAGTGCTCCATAACATCCCCTTATTTGCTTGTCCTTTAATCCTTACCTAGATGCTGCCAGCTGTGCCATCACCACCTGCCAGCTCTGTACAGACCAGTGCCTCTTTCACACACAGCCAGTTCCCACCTCACCTGCCCTGCCTGTCCTTGCAGAAAGGCCCAGAATGGTCCATTGCAACACACCAGTCACAGGGCTCTGCCCACCAGGTTCCACTGATGCCAGTGATGTCGTGGCTCTGGGACTGAGCCAAGGCTTCTGGCTCCTCTCACTTGTTTCTCGGTGCATGCTGCATGCACTGATGTAGCAACATTCCAAAGGTGCTTCACCACAGCCAGCACCTGCTGGAGCAGGATCTGTCTAGCACACAGCCCTTAAACAAGCTGCTCACCTCGTCAGTCTTTGTTTCAGCTTGGTTAACCTCATGCGCCACACACATAGAATGGGTGAGCTGTGAGTCTCAGTTCCAGGCGCAGCTGACAAAGGGCTTACGTTGCATCCTCTTTTGGTCAAAGTCAGTGTTAACAGCAGAGTGACCCAGCACAGCTGTCTGTTCTGTTTGTGGTCTTCTTGCAGCGCATTGCAGACCTCAGCTCAGTGATTCCATGGCTTACTTCCACTACAACGAGGCTGTCTAAAGATCCAAAGGGTGCACACAAGCTTCCTGGGACTGGCTGGTTATGGGGCTGCCCTACAAACAGCCCAGCTGAGCTGAAAGCAGAGCATCAGTGATGAGCAGCTGACAGCAAACTGCTATTAGTCATGTTTTCCATTGGCACCGCTGATGCCACAGTGTCTGTCCTTCGTTCCTGTTCCTATAAAGCTCTGAAGTGAACTACGAACAAATGCTGCGTGCAATGCCAGGAGCTGGAGGAGTCATTCACTGGCAGGCCGCTACTTGGCAGCGAGGCTTCACACTCAAAATAAAACAAAGGATGTACAACAAACGAGTGTCTCTCCCTGAGAAAAAGAACAGTTGAAGAACAAAGTGTTTTTGCAGTCATCCATAGAAATCACCACAGACAATAGCGATGGTGTGCACACAGTTTGGAAAAGGTCTTGGATACGGGTCTGAGCACAGTAATAAAAGGGTGCTGTTAGCAGGATGCTGGTGGCCATGTGTAACCCTCGGAAAATAGAACTGAAGGGAATTCAACTGGAATCTTACTAGATGTTCTGAGTGTCGGGAAAGGCTGCACCTGCAAGTGTGCTGCTAGGGCCTTTGGCCTTTATTTTTTGCGGGCACTGCTGGGACCAAATGAGGGGGAGAAAAAGCAACCGAAGAGACTGGTTTAGGAAAAAAAAAAAAAAAAACCACTTTAAAAAAGGAACGGATTTGTCGGTCCATTCACTCGCCTAGGGTTTTGTCCTAGCGTTCAAGTCTCAAAGCTTTCCTCGGCAGAACCCATCTGGGCACGAAAGCCGCCCTCCTCGCTCTCAGCCGCAGCCGGACGCTTTGCTGCGGTGGCCACGGGCTGCTCCGCGGGTGTGCCAGGCCGTCCCTCCGCTCTCGTCCAAAAGCCGTAAAACCGAGCACGTTGCTAGCGGCTCGCTCTTCCTCGCTGTGGTAACCGCGGCCCCCGGCGCGACCCGGCCGCGAGGCAGCGGGGGACGACGTGCCCGGCCGCCCGTCGCACCTCCCCGTACTTCCTTATTGTTTGCTCCCGGGGAGGTCCCGCCCCGCCCGCGGCGGCCGCAGCCCTTGCGGGGTGGCTCCGGGCCCGACCGGGACGCGCCCCCCGCCCGGGGCTCTCCGCGGGGCGGCGGGATAAAGCTCTGCGCGCCCGCCCGCCGCCGCCACAGGGCCCGGCGGGGCGGCCCGCCATGGCGAGCCCCGCGCGCCCGCAGCCGGAGCCGGCGGTCCCCGGGACGTGGGGCGGCGGCGCGGCGGGGGAAAGGCTGCTGCTGCTGGAGCTGCGCTGCGCCCGGCCGCCGTCCTCCGGCTCGGAGGAGGAGGAGGAGGAGGCGGGGGAGGAGGCGGCCGAGGGGGAGGACTGCTGCCCCAAGTGCAAGAAGCGGGTGCAGTTCGCGGACTCGCTGGGGCTGAGCCTGGCCAGCGTGAAGCACTTCAGCGACACCGAGGAGCCGAAGGTGCCGTCCGCAGCGCCGCCCGCCGAGCCGCGCGACCCGCCGGAGCCCGGCGCTGCCCCGGGGCCGCCCCGCCAGCCGCCCTCCCTGCGCCTGGAGCCCGACTTCCCCGACGGCGGCGAGCCGAGCGCCGAACGGCTGCGGCGGCAGCGCGTCTGCCTGGAGCGGCTGGGGCGACCCGCGTTGCTCTCCGACGTGCGGGGCACGGTGCGGGCACTGCGCGGCTCCGGGCCCGGCGAGGTGACGGTGCGCTACACCTTCAACGAGTGGCTCTCCTTCATGGACGTCCCGGCCTCGCCGCTGCCCCCCGCCGCCGCGGACGGCTCCGAGCCGCCGGCCGAGCGCTTCTCGTTCGCCCTGTGCGTGCCGCCCAGCCTACGGGAGGGCTCGGCCCTTCACTTCGCCATCCGCTACCGCGGCGCGCAGGGCGAGCACTGGGACAACAACGACGGCCGCAACTACACGCTGCGCTGCCGTCGCGACCCCGAGGCGGCCGCCGCGCCCCGCGACTGAGCGACGGTCGTGCTGCCGTCGGGGGGAGGTCGGGGCGGCGGCTGAAGGGGCGCTGTGGGACGGATCCGCATCGAGAGAACCAGGAGGCTGAGTGGGACCTCGGTGCCGCTCCCCGCCCTGCCCGAGCCCCAGAAGGACGTCCGCGGCTGGGGCCCTGCCGTGCATAGGCTGCCTTTGCCGGGGCAGAGGAGCAGTTAAAAATACTGGCTGATAGCGAGTTATCTGGAGAGCTTCGATAACAGCACCCCGCAGTCACGTGCTGTGCGCTGGAAGATGGTGTCTGTCTCGTTCGGTGTGCCTGTGTTGGGGAGAGCGATGACATGGACGGCCTTGTCACAGCACAGTGACAGCGTGGTAGGGAGGGGATCTCGCTAATGAACGAAAGCAAATGCTTCGCTTCAGCTCTCCTTATGTTACGTTTTGCACCACGCTTTCAAGTGCTTTTAATTTATTCAGGTCATTTTGCAACATCTTTTCCAATATTTGTGCGTTGTTGGGTTTGGGCACTTAACCCACAGCCTTTCACTCTTGCACTGCATTGCACTGTGGCACTGCTGTGTCCCGAGTCCTGACATTTGGCAAAAAAGTACCATTGCAAATGGCTTTGTTAGAATAAAAAGCTTTCAAAAAGCTCACCGACACAAACCTTTTTTTCTGCATCTTCTGTGCAGCAGAACGTGTGTGTTAACCCTAGCCTGTGCCCTGCAGAAGCAGCTCATGCAAAGCTGTGGTGAAAGGAAGCTCTGCTGTCACAGGGTTCTGTAGAAGATGTGATGGCTGCTCTGCAGCTTGCCTTGTATTATTTTAGTGTCATTATTATTTTTTTTCATGATGAAAAAACAGATAAGGTTTTATCTGGGTGCAGAAAATGCTTTGGCATATATCCTATACCTGAAATGAGTCTTCAGCTAAGCTGCCTTTTCTGCAAGCTGGTGCAGAGCTGTTGTGCACTGCTAGGTTACAGGACATGGAATAACGCAGTGTGCATTAGCTACTGATAGTTGTACCAATGAAATAACATGCTCTTAAGCTGATATGTGATGCCAATCGAGATAGATGAATTGTTCTTTTCAGTACAGTGTAACATCTCAGACTTGTGCAGTGCATCCCTTATCTGTGTTTTGTTCATGAATTGCTCCAGAGAAGAAGTTTCACCAATGAAGGGTGGGCTGGGGAATGTCTCCTAAAACAGAAGGCAGCAGTAGCTCTGGTGCCTGCATCTGGGCAGAGCTGTGGGGCTGCCACATAGAAGAATTGTAGCTGTAGTCTGCAGTTATGTGTAGAGGGTGAGAAACATTTTCTGCTGTTCTGTAAGCTATGGATAACGGATGTGAAACATCCGGAAAGTGTAACATTTATGTGTAGTCTGAAATTCAAAATGCAGGGGTAAAAAAATCCTGCAAATGATGATTAAAGCAGAACATTTTTATGCCTTGGCAACAAGTAAAATGCTTTAATTTCTTACACAATTCACTTCTTGTGAAAGAGGAAACTTCTCACAGACAGGACTCAAACATAACTACTTTTTAATATGCAAAATGATTTTTTCCCCCTGTATTTTAGTGTTGCAGGTTGTGGAGACACGAGGCCACACTGTTACATAGGTACATAGGACATGTATGTACCAAACGCTGGCATCCCAGAACCAACACGGCACAGGGTTGGTGTTTGTGGTCATAGCTTGAGATTCATTGCTTGTACTGTCATTATCAAGGAAATATATTCAAATTGAATTAGTTCTAATTATGTAAAATGAGAAAGTCCAGTAGAATCAAATGTTAAGTGAAACACACTTCTTGTTTGGTTACATTACTGTTAATGTAATATTCTATAGGGATTGGGGGCATAACTTGTGCAGAACGTGCTCATAAACACATTCCCCACCCCAATGTGAGAAATAAAAAATAATACAGATTTGGTAGCACTCTTGGATAAAATCCAGCTGTAGAGATTTCCAGTTCACGCAGATTTCTTTTCTTTTTCCCATGGACTAAGGGCATAACGGAGAAATAGATGTAAAAGCTTTTTTTATAGGTGTAAATAAAACAAATAGTAAATAGTTGAATCTCTATGTTGGGTTACTATGAAGGACGTCAAAGTTACATCTTAAGTGGGTGTTTTTTATTTTGCAGTTTATAACCATGTTTATATTCAGATTGAAATCAGAAAGCACTGAAGTTCAATTTGCTATGGAGCCCTGAAGCACTACAAACTTGCATGCAGGCTGCTTCTGTTTCATTTGAAGCTTTCAGTCAGAGCTTGAAAGTGAGGCGTCTGCTCCCATTGACTTCCTGGGATCTGGATCCATCCCAGGTACTGCACAAAGACAGGGGAAATGATTGAGGTTTAATTGTCTGTTATGTGGCACTGTGATGAATGTTCGTCTGTGAGAGCTCAAAACCTGCCATCTAGGCCTGGCAGTAATTAAATCACCTTAATTGTTTTTATGATTCTTTCTAAGAGAGGAAAATTACTTGCCTTGCATTAGCATATTTCCAAAGGCTGATATAAATATTTATGTGGTGCACTCTTTTAGTAGCAAGCCCATGCATTCTTCACAGGTCTCCACAGTTCTCTTCTGAATGTAGAACAGTCGTATGAATGCACTGCTTACATCACTTCCTCACACCCCTTGTGAAGCTTCAGTAGTTAATGGGCTTAAGGCTAAGAAAAAAAAGGAGAGTGGTTTAGAAAGGAGCATCTCTTACATTAACGATGCTCTGTGTCACCTGCGGGGTTTTAGAGGTGCATATGTCTGTGAAACAGGATTGAGAGCTCCTGATTTTTAACTCTTGCAATTGTAGAAAATATACAGCATTGGAGGAATGACTGCTTTCTCTCTTTTTTTTCTGCTTCCGTATGAAGGGCTCATGCGCATGCTTTACTTTCTACAATACTGAAGTAAAAATAAAAACTCATGGGAAAAAAGAACAACACACCTTCAATCTTTCTTACAGATGTCATCAATCAAAACATTGCTAAGAGTATGAAATAGTTTTGGCCGTGTTAAGAACCAGGAGCGAAGCAATGAGTACGCTCATGACTTCAGTAATGCCAGGAGTTCACTGTAGATCGTTACGAGATCATGGAATCCTTAGAGTTTGAAGGGACCCTTACAGGCCATGTAGTCCAACTCCCCTGCAATGAACAGGGGCATCACAGCTACATCAGTTTGCTCAGAGCCCTGTCCAGCCTGGAAAACAGTCGACATACAGCTCCTTTCTGACTCTTTATATACATACCCTTACTGAATCTATCTAGAGAGATGCATTTCTGTTGCCTTACAGGGAGTAAGTTGAGGGGGCAGAGTTTCTCCATAGAAGTATTCTTTCTTCTACCTGCTGATGTTAGAAGATACAACTAATGCTTCTAATGCTTGGAAACATGGTGAAATTTCATACAGAACTTTCTACAGATGTGAGTTGTAGGTTAAAATCCTTCTTGGTCTGCTTTACTACTGGATATAAAGTGTTCACGTGCTACTCCAGGTTGCTTTACTTCAGGACGGCTTTTTCTCCAACATACATAGGCATTGTGAAACTGGGCTTTCAACTGGGGTAAAATCCAGCGAGCAGTGGGAACACAGCAGACAGGCCTTTCCTTTTGACAGTTACTCATGTCGAAGGAGTGTTGTTTTTTTTTTTCTTTCAGAGAGCTGTTTCCAGGTTTATACTGTAAAATTCATCACAGATCACTTTTGGAGATGAATAGTTTGTTAAAATGATCAGGGAGAAACTTCAATTTTTTAATACAATACAAGCAAACTTGTTTTGATAAAACATTGCAGCTTTAGTAGATACTTAGCAAGCTGCCTTTTTAAATAAAATATATACCTTCTATAATAGTGGACCTTGTATATACATCATGGAACCATTCCTTTGCATTTTATCACTTCCCACCACTCACACTGATTTGGCAAAATGCAGCAATACTGACAGGTGCCAAGAAAGATTTCCTGAGTACTGCACTGTAAATACTGCTGGTGGAGCACAGAAGGTGCAGCAGGAAGAAGATAGGAATTACCAGGATGGACCAAAGTGCCAGCTCCAGAATGCAGTCTCCATCAGTGACAACAAGTGCAAGCTTTGCAGAGTAAGAAGAGGGAACTTGTCCCAGCCTGCAACTATTTCTGTTCTGTACTTGATAAGCCAGGTGTGGCTTCTAAGAATTTTCCTTCCATACTTCGTAGGATTTCAACAATAAAGAATTTGATAAGCTATGTTTTTATACAGAACTAAGTATACTATGAGAAAAACTTATAACAGACTTCAGGCAAGGACAGAATCGTATTTCTAGGTGTCTTCCAATCCTGTACAACTAATAGGCATATAACTGATACTAATGCAGAGTGCACTGTGTGTGTGTTGATGAGCAAAGAAGTCGTGCAGGTCTGACCAAAATAGGGAACAGATATTTAAAATGTTCTAATAGTGTAGGATTTGAGGAGTAAACACTAACATCCTCACTAGCTTTGCATTCCTGTTTACAAGTTAATACAACACAGGCTTCTGGTCCTGAACAGCAGAAGTTTCTTAATAAGTGCTGTATATATACTTTACTGTAAACTCATGGTTAATATGGAGTTAAGATCTGATTTTTCCTTGACTTGAGAAAGTGAGCTGTCTTAACTTGTGCACTACAGATCAGGGAGACAGGGAAATTACAAGGCTTGAATTTAATTTATGTCTTTCTAGATGGGTTTCTGTAGAATGCATCCTGAAGATAACTAGTGCACCTTTGCAAGTAATAATGGCTAGGGGACAACCTGGTTGGCAATGCTGAAACAAAAAATAAGGAACAGGTGGCACACATTAGGAGTGCAGCAGCAATTTATCCACCACCAAAACTTAACAGAAGAATTTTCAGGCATTAAAGCATGGAAGTGATCTTCATAATGTTAAGGCAATTTTATATTGACAATTGCACTTTTATGACAAGGTGCAACATCTACAGTTGTGCTCCTGGTGGAAACTGCATCCTAAAGGCCCTCACAGGACAGGCACTAATATTTTGAAAGAAATTATTATGTATTTAAAAGACTTGTCTTTGACATTTTTTTTTAAACTGGTATTTAGATAGCAAAAAGCCTACAATTGCAATCATGCCTCTTCATTAATCAGGGAGACACTGTTTACAAGGATGTTTATTTTGTTTCCTAGCATACATTCTCATACTTTGGTCCTGTAGGCTGTCCTTGTTCCAGTCCTGAAGCTGTTCTAAAGAAGAACTGGCAACGCTTCTAAGCCAGTGTTCTCTAAAAGTGTCAGATGTTACTACATTTCTTCAAGTTCACTGAAAGTTTAAATAATAACTCTTTTCTCCTCTACATTTTCATTATCAAGAAGTGTGTTTAATTACCTGGTTGTGAATACGGAGATCTTAAAATGAGAATCAACTGCATTTTACCTTTTAAAACAGTTACATTTCTTTTTAATGGTCACTAAGCACAATTGACAATGCAGTACTTATAGACCTAATACAAGGAGAATTATTACTATACTCACTTTTTTTTAAAATGAGAATGAAGGCTACCTTTGCAGTCTCAGGCCTCATACCTTGTTCTGTACACTATATTGTTAATGGTAAGCAGTACCACACATTTCAACTGTACAAAATTATACAAGACACTTTATATGGTGTGTTTTTGTTCTAAATTAGACACTTTGTCTTCTGCCTTAATAGTGTCACAACATGGACAATGCAAAACAAATAAGGCCTGAGCAACAATGAACTCTGAGAAGTAGAAGAAATGAAAGGAGGTTTTTAAAGGCCATGAACTGCTTTGGAACTTCTGCTTCTCTTTAAGCAAAAACAACAAAACCCAGCAAAACAATCCCTTGGGGGGAAAAAAAAAGAAAAAAAAAAGCAAGCCTTTTCCATATACTATTAAAAAACCATTGCATGGATTATTTTTTCCTCTGGTTTCTAACAAACCAAAACAAGCACAGCATTGACTGGAACAGAACTTGGTTCAGCTTTAAATAACAAACAAACAAACGAAAATATAGTTTAAGAAATGTTGACTAATCTACAGATTTAAAGATTCAATAAAAAGCTATCCTGAGTGTTCCACTTCTGCTGGGTAAAACTTGCTTCCAATCCATGACATATGGCACTTGAGTTATAGGCAGGTTGTTGGCCTTTTTCTCCTGGTGAAATCAGGAGCTTCATGAGAAAGGAAAGCCTTGCATGAAGTGATTTGCTACTTTCTGCCAGTAGCTGTGTTTCAACACATTTAGAAAAGGAAAATATACTTAAAGCTCCCAAGCCTCAGTGATGGAAGTTTTACATTCTGCTACTGCTATCTCTTCATTGCTAAAAGTAGGGTGAGAGACTGCTTGTTGACTCTTAGAAATGGAAGAAAGAACAAATGAATTCTTTTTGTTAACTGCTCAAATGTCAAGGAATCTTGCCCTGCTCATCTCATATGGTTTTAATACTTAAACTATTTAGAGATTAAATTTAGATGCTGTACTTTTTAAAATTCAACAGGATTAATAAGAATTTACTCTTAGTAACTAAGTGAAAGGTTTTATATCTAACATCTTTTGTGCCTGGTGAAAGAAAAGGGCAGCAGCAGAAGAATGTGTCTGGTTGCAGGTAGGTTAACAAAGTTTTATTGACGAATAAAGCAGGTACTATTTAATCACAAGGAACACAAAAGCAAACAGACTTCAGGACTACCGTACACACTGTTGTAAATCACAGCAGTATATTTCAGAATGTGCGAACCATAAGAAAATAGTACTTTGGTTGCCAAAAAAAGAGTCTCTCAGACATTTCTTATGCTGAACAGAATAGGCCAGATGTGCAGTGACGTTATGCATCCGTACGTGGCACTGAAAGATGCTGAAGATGGTCCAGGGTTGCTTCAGGGTCAGAGCCTCCTCACAGCTATGTGTTTCCTGGACTCTCAATGACCAATTTCTGTGTGGCATACATCTGGCCGATAGTAACCTGAAATCAAACCAAAATATTAGCAAGCCAAAACCAGAAAGTAATCAGGTTATAATTTCAGCTTCACAAAGGAGATTAAAAACAAACCAAGAAATGTGTAGCCCTTGTATTAACCTTTTTCATAACGAGATTTTTCTTTCTACAAGCATCTTTTCTAAATAAGAACCTCACCTAAGCCCATAGCCAATAGCTGTGTACCTAAAATCTTGAAATAATGGCAGAAGGATACTGTTCAAAGGCACTCGTTAACAGTTAACGACAGAGCAAAAGCAAACAGCCTCCATATTTAGAACAAGGGAAAGATGAATATTATCAGCCTGTATTTCTGATTACACTTTTGGGTGGACAGCCAAGTTATAAACTGCAGGCTAGGGTGTTACTTTCTAGTATGTGTGGAACCCCAGTTTTCCTCACAAAGGGTCAAACCACTGCCTGTACGGTTAGTTCAGCAGTAAGATTTTACACATGCTGGAGCTGACCATGAGACAGTATTCACACCTCATGCATTTGTGCATTCTAGTGAGATGGGGAGATGAAAAATTGACTCCTCTTGTCCTTTTCTAGTCTGCATTGTAGCACTGCTAAATTGTGGTTGGTGACAGCAGCCACATAGATCTTCACTTAATAGCTGAGACGTGGATGGAAGTTTTGTGCAAGTAGGCTTGTGTCAGCAGGAGAAGCCAACATTTATTTTAAAAGTATGAATTTTGGAGTCGAATTTTTAATATCTATTATGCCTTTTCTCACCCTTCACTCTCTTCCCAGGGTGCTGGTACACAGCTTTGTGTCCTTTTCACTGGAAAAAAGATGGTATGATTAATTATGGAAGTAGGTCAAAAAAAGGCGGTGCTTAATTACATGAAACAGAATAGGTGTAGCAGAATTTAATACTGCTCAAACTAAGGCTGACAGCAAGTCAAGCTCTCAAAGCAGTGAAAAAAGTGAGGGAAATACATTTTTCAGCATTCTCCAAATACTATTTTTGATGGGAAAAATCTTGGTAGCGGTTAAATTTTTTCTTGTGTGCCCACATAAATGTAAATAACATTGCCTTTTAGGAAGTGAACTATTTAATCTTGATAAGCGGTGTGGTCTGAAACACGTAACGCATTGATCTGAATCCTGAAGCGTTCATTATGAGGGAGGATTGATGAGCCCTTAAAGGGAACAGCAGTTCTCCTTGCCAGCAAACACTCCACTCTTGGCACTCAGAACTAAGTCAGTAACAGCATATGAGCAACTCCGATTATTTTTGAAATTACTTATGAAGTGTGTTGCACATAGAATATTTAAAACAAAGGCCATACACAACTGAGGCATGTGTTACCAACAGAAACTTCAAGCTGTCAGCAAGTGTTACTTATCAAACAGAACTCGCTGCTCCTGAGTTATGTGGCAGACTCCATCCCTTAGTGACTGCCTTACCACCAACCATGCTGTAGTGTTCGATTTTTGTATCCTGTGTTCCAGACTCTAAATAATCATAGAATCACAGAATGATAGAATTGCTCAGGTTGGAAAAGACCTTTAAGATCCTCAAGTCCAACCACAGCCTAACCATACCACCCTATCTCTAACAACCCTCTGCTAAATCATGTCCCCGAGCACCACATCCAAAGGGTTTTTAAACACATCCAGGGATGGTGACTCAACCACTTCCCTGGGGAGCCTGTTCCAGTGCTTAACAACCCTTTCTGTAAAGAAGTGTTTCATGATATCCAACCTAAACCTCTCCTTGTGCAAGTTGGAGCCATTTCCCCTCATCCTGTCACCAGTGAGAAGAGACCAGCCCTGCTCTTGTTGCAATCACCTTTCAGGTATTCTTTAGTCCTTTTTCATACAATGCAGCAAATTTAATGGAGGCTGGGAGAGATTACAGAAAACCCTGGAACCTAAACTGTGATTTTTTTTTTTTTTCCTCCATCCACTGAGAGACAGATGAGACTGAGTACGTAACTTCCCAGTCAGTCTTGGCAGGAGAGATACAAACTGCTGTTTTCTGTCCCCGTGCCAAGAGATGATATTACCTACCGCTGTACCTCTTGACTTGAACACAGTGAAGTCACAGGTGTGTGTATTAAGCTGATTCTTTACTAAAGTGCACATCTCAAGAAGTGCACAGCCAATGGCACTGTGCCATTCTGTCCATGGCAGCCTGTTGCAGCTGGCATGCTCTGCTGCCTCTCTTTCAGAATGTATTCTGTGGTGTTTCAAGCTGAATTTTGAAACATAAGTATTTTTTTTTCTTAACTGCTAGCCTTGAGTTTCCATCGTTATAATCAAGCTTTTCGATGTTTCCCATGCACTTCAGACAAAATAAATATATGTTCCATTTATAGCTGTTGAAAAATTCACATCTATAAACATCAACTGCATCAGCAGAAAGACTGCCACAGTACTGACACACAGACATTCGTTAACCCTCTGAACTGAAACAGCATTCCTAGTGTGCCTCTGTGGGAAATTAGGTCTAGAGGAAGCACTTGAAAAGGCAAGTGTCACTGAGGACTCTTCTCCCAAAGAGTTAAGTAGCTATCTCTTGTGTTTCCACTTTGCCATGTATGTGCATTTAGTTCATACACAGCATGCCATTTACTCTTCTGATAGATGGCTGGGAGCCAGCATAGAGGTCAGCGTCAGCATTTTCATTAGAAACAGGAAGCTGTTGTGGAGAAAGGCTCTGCCATTTGCTCAGCAACCTCGTTAGCCATAGGGTTATTTACCTCTATGGTAATGGTGCCATTTAATTCTTAAGTAATGAGTGCACAATGAAACAGCACTTCATCATCAGAAGACTGTCAATAGAAATATAGTGGTGCTTCTCAGATCTTACCAAAGTTTCAATTCTGCCTGCAAAATTCTGTACATCAAAACTAAGTATGACAAGTTCAGCCTTCAGACCTTGACAATTTATTCTTGCTCAAAGATTTAGTACCATTCTATATGGTCATTTTTTTCTTGTGATCTTGAAAAAGTCAATCTTGCCTTCCATCTGAATTCTGGACAAATCGGGGTTTCAGAATGAGATTTATCAGTGGATGTAAGTGAGGTAACAAATGGGAAAAAGAAATTACTGAACAGTAAGCATTGATGCATCCTACAGCACAGCTCTCGCTACGCAGCTGAGGGTGTAGTAAGAAATGTATAGTAAATGAGAAGAATTAAGTAGAATTAAACACAGAAAAAGTCAGTATCCCAGAGACATCAGAAGAATGTGCTACCATCCTAAAAACTCAGCCCATCCAGTTACATTGCCAGCTCTGAACTCTGTCCTCTCAAATGGCCCACAGCTGCCACTGCTGGACCCGCAGGTACACCGATGGCGATGGGCAGCTGTCACTGCACACAAGTGTGGTGGGACAGCCGTGGGCAGGGAGCTGGAAGCAGGGGCTTTTTTCCTGTCTGACAAAGCCAGCAGATGAGGTACTGCAGCCTCATTGTCACTGCTTGTCGAACAGCGCCAGATCTTCAGCTTCTGAAGGGATGTGGCACATATTGTGGCTCTTGGCTGTGTGAAGGTTTTAGTTTGCAGCTCAGATTTGAGGGAGAAGCAACTGCTCCTCTTTCTGCAGGTCTGAAAACAAGGTGACCACGTTTCAAGAAGTTTTCTGATTTGCTTCAGTTTTTTTAGAGCGCGTGGTTCTGCTCTGAAAAGCATGAGGGCATCTTTCCCTGGCAGCTCTGCATGTATTCAAAAAGTCTGTCCATTTTATTAACCTCTGTGTTTTTTCCTCCTTAGGACAAAGGTGGGCAGGCACCTGCTTTTCCCATGCACTGGACAGAATTGTAATTGGCAGATAAGCTGTGTGCGCTAACAAACCCTTTGGGGCCAGTGGAACAAGATACTTCTCACTGCCCCCAACTTCTCATCATTATCCTTCTGCCAAACCCAACAGTCTTCAAGCCCCATACCACCTGGTAGTATCAGGCCTCACTGACAAATCCCAGCCAGAATTCCCTGAAGTTACTCAGGGAAATGGCTGGGGAGCAGATCTGAGTGAGAGTGACATCCAACAAGAGTGGCAGTGTATGACCAAGGAGGGCACCCACACAAATGGATCCAATGAAGGGTGTCCACAACTTCTGGAAACAAGTGCAAAGTGAAAATGACAAGAAATCTGGCTTGTGATCTCCAAGCAGGACTGACACATAAGGATGATAAATGCCAATTGGTGTTGGACTGACTGGGCTTCCCAGTGCACTGAAAATATCATCTTCCTGACTGCAATCATGGATGGTTTTATGTAAGTCAATGCAATATGACTACAAACACTCCTGGTGTCTTTATGGTATTTTTTACCATCACTTCCTAAGCAAAATCAATGCAAAATTTGTATGGGGGGCAAATGGATTGCTGAATGGAGCAAAAGATAGAAGTGCTTTCTTCTAATGATATTTTGGGCTTTAATTAATCTCTCTGCTTGCAGCATAACTAAGTCCAAACCTCTCCATGGAAACTACTAAGTCAGCTGTTGACGAGCTGATGAGACGGTGTCCACAGAAAACCCCCTGCATGCTTCCAGAGTGGCTTCCTCCCTTTGTCACTTTTACAGATCATCCCATTTGTAAAAACAACCACACACACACACACACACACACACAAAAAAAAAAAAAAAGCCACAAAAAAACTGTGCTTATTTAATAATTAAAATTTGTTTTAAAACAGCTTCTGAAATAATCACTTGGGCACAACTTCCCACCCACAAAAGCAAACAACCCCAGGACTTTTACTGCCATTTGTTTTTCTGTAATAGACAAAAGCAGGAACAGCCCAACAGGAGATGGCAGTAACACTCTTACCTTACGCAAAGCCATCTCATGGGTGAAGAAAGGGACTAAACAAGTGTAAATGCCACCAAAGCACAGGAAAATATCCTAAGAAAGCAATTTCTTTAGCTCTCAATTATTTAAAAATTGATTTCCTGGGAGGGTCATCATGGGAACAGTAAAAAATATTTCTTGTTTCCCTTAAACAAGTGCAGATGATAACTGAGGTTGAT